GTTTAATATGTTTGTGATTTACATCTTTGATAATGGCTTAAGTAAGCCGAAAGCTTAGATTATATTAAAAAAATATGGATCAATATTGTGAATTTCTTTCTTCGTTTAATGATAATGTTATCAAACTTATCAGATGTTACGAACAAATTTTACATAAAATAAATAGACAACACTTGTCTATATTATTTATTATTTAATATATATATATATATATATATATATATATATATATATATATCAGCTATAGGGTTGGGGAGTGAAATTTTCACTGAAATATGTTGGAAACTTTGTATGTTTTCCTCTGAAATCAAGAAAATACGAACTTTAAGCAAAATGTTAATTTTTCTTTATATTATATTTATTTTGCTTAAAGTTGGCATTTTCTTGATTTTAGGTGAAAACTTGAAAATTTTCCAACATATTCCTCTGAAATTTTCACCTTTCAAATAATAGTTCAGATCAAAAGCATGTATCAGACTAAACCAATGCTTCTCAATGTTTTTTTTTTTTTTTTTTACCCACGGGCGCCCATGAAGAAGAAATTAAATTATGTGCACACTTTAAATTTGAATAATGAAAAATTAGTCATGAAATTTGAAAATATGAATTTTTGGTTCAGCATTCCCAAAGGAGATTAACAGTACAGTTTTCATTTAAAGGGATTCACGAAGACTTTCTTTTTTTTTTTTTTTTACAGAGACAGATAATGTCTGATTTAAATTGTTTAGGGAAGGGAAAAAAAGAAAAGGATTATTTTATCTTATATTTTTAAGCATTTCACCCAAAACAAGGCGAGAATGCCACTAGTAAACAAGGGGTTACAGAGAGTGGGAACAAGAGTAAAGGGGCCTGATAGAGGAAATGATGAAGGACGGGGAATAGATCAAGGCATCTGGAGATGTCGATTGACATTGCATTTGAATATTTGGAGATTATAGCTATCAAGGATGTAAGTAAGAGGAAGGGAGTTCCACAGACGGGAAGTGCGAGACATGAAGCTATTGGAGTAGAAGAGACGGCTACATTTAACCGTTTCGACAGTGAAAGGGTGGGACTGAGTTGCCAACCTAGTAGCACGCTTAAATTCATGCAGTTTGGGAACCAGCGCTGATCGAAGACAAAGAACAAGCTCCTAGACTAACATATTCTATCTTTGTTTTTTTATACTCACAGTGTTTAGGACGGTTCACTCTCCAGTCTTCAACGGTCGGTCCTCGTACACAATAACCGAAGATTTTTTAACTGAAAACTTTCCATGCTAAAGGGAGATAACTCTCATAAATTAATACTCATTCTTATTCACCTGTGTTGCTTGTCTGTTTTTTTTTTTTTCTCTGAACTAGAGTATATGACTTTTCCGGCCCAGAAATTGACCTTTCAATTGCCGAACGAGAAACGTGACTTAACGACGATTAAAGCATATCTGGTTGATTAATTGTAACCTTGGAAATGTAACAAGCATGCTGGTCCGAATAACTTTTTAAAATATTATACGTGTTCAGAACCTAAGCGAACATAGCTTCTCGAAAGAACCTTTTCTTTATTATCTGTGAACTATCATGTATTCTTGAGAAAGATGGTGGAGAGGTTTCTCTTGCTTTTCTCCATGATCTGGAATTCGGTTTTTTCCTTCTCCTAGAATGGTTGTCGCCCAAGGCTAAAAGTGCTCAGTCTACATTGACATTTAACCCATAGTTTGGAGGAAAAGAAGAAGAGACTAATTCATGTGTGAACGCAACAGACTAAGCCGGAATTTGAACTCGGCTCGACGATTTCACTTCCAGCGTCGATATCCGTTACATTACCTGCACGTCCTGGTCTGAATAAAAAAAAGGATAGAATTTCGTATTCTTTGTTGTTAGAAGATTAATTAACTTTTCTTTATTTGTGAGACCAGAAATCCCCGAAGAATATATGGAAAATAATTTCAGGAACTGTGGCAATGTTAGGTAAGTCGAAGTACATATCTTGTGAAATTGTAGGCTACAAACATCAAAGATGGAAAATGTCTTTTATCGCGTTTCTCAATCGAAGAATTGCACTGAAAATAATGGGATAATAGCAACAAGATATTAGTGACAACAATTAATTACATTACTATTATTACCAGACAGTCATATTTTACGGGGAGCGAGGAAAAAGAAAAAAACACTAAAATCGTTTTGTGATGTCAACGAATACTCGTTACCACTTTTATAAAACCAACGAATACTCGTTGCCACTTTTATAATACCAACGAATACTCGTTGCTACTTTTGTAATACCAACGAATACTCGTTGCCACTTTTATAATACCAACGAATACTCGTTGCCACTTTAATAATACCAATGAATACTCGTTGCCACTTTTATAATACCAACGAATACACGTTGCCACTTTTATAATACCAACGAATACATATTGCCACTTTTATAATACCAACGAATACTCGTTGCTACTTTTGTAATACCAACGAATACTCGTTGCTACTTTTGTAATACCAACGAATACTCGTTGAATACTCGTTGCCACTTACCAACGAATACTTTTAATACCAACGAATACTCGTTGCCCTTTAATAACGAATACTCGTTGCCACTTTTATAATACCAACGAATACACGTTTAATACCAACGAATACATGCCCTTTTATAAACAACGAATACTCGTTGCTACTTTTGTAATACCAACGAATACTCGTTGCTACTTTTGTAATACCAACGAATACTCGTTGACACTTTTATAATACCAACGAATACTTGTTGCCACTTTTGTAATACCAACGAATACTCGTTGCTGCGTTTGTATTAACAACGAATACTCGTTGTCACTTTTATAATAGCAACGAATACTCGTTGCTACTTTTGTATTACCAGCGAATACTTGTTTTCACTTTATAATACCAACGAATACTCGTTGCCACTATTTTAATATCAACGAATACTTGTCACTTTTGTATTACCAACGAATACTCGTTGCCACTTTCGTAATGCTCGTTGTAGTAGAGACTTTGTAATCGCAGATACAACTATAGTAACGCCGTTGAACAATACTGGTGTCAGACACCTTCGAATAACATTCGCACTAACAATACTTGCCCGATAATACTCGCTCGAAAAGTAACCACCGTATTGATCCGAATAGAGAATAGTGTAGAGTAGAGAATAGCCGTCTAATAGTAATAGAAGAGAAATAGCGATCCGAATAGTATAGAGGATAGACTAGAATACAGCGATCCTTAAGACGTCACGCGACATCCTATATATGCGTTTCCTCTATGGTCACGTGGTCTACATAATTCAATCATGGGATCGCCTATGTTTACTCACTGGCGATTTATGTTCAATCTCGATTGTCGGCAACGATATTTTATTCCTATATAACAAATCATAAAAACGAAATATAATCGTCCATATAGTAATTGCAACAATTACGAAGAAAATAAAATTCATAATTTTTCTAAAGAAAATATACGTTATAAGCAAAATCTACAGAAATTATAGACAGAATGTGTCCCGGCGAATCATAAGATTTTTTTTTTTATTAAGCTGTTCTGAAAATAATAAGAATCAACTTTTATTCCACGATTAATGTATTTTTTTTTTTTTTTTTTTTTAAGTTTAAATCAGTCAAAATGCAAACCCTGATATCTACACATTTCTGAAAGTTAAAAAGTTATTTATTTCTTGCGATATTTTAAGGTCAACATTTCTTTCTAAATTAATGTATTTAAACAGTATTTAAATTAATCAAAATAGGAATTCTGGACATCTATACATTTCAGCCCTCGAGTTAGAAAAATTATACCATTACAATAAAACTCTAAAGGTATGGATGCCAAGAAATCTTTGAATGCAGTTTCTGTACCTTTTTTGCAACGGAATGTCCTTTGGCTTAAATAGTTAAGATGCTTGGAAAAACTGTTATCATTGGCCGAGAGATCAGGGGATTATGATGAATATGGCATGAATATGTCTCGTATCCCAAGTGGGTGAGTTTCAGCAGTCTTCCTGACATGTGGCCGAGCATTGTCATGAAGCAGGATTGGATATCACCGGCTAACCAGTGCGGGTTGCATTTTGCTTAACTGGATGTGCATTTTATCCATTTGCTGGCAGTAAATTTCAGCAGTAAAGCTTTGGTTAGATTCCGTAAAAGCTGAAATGGGTAACGCCAATGTTGGAACACCGGACAGTCGTCATTATGTGCAATTTCATTTTTGGAAAATCCTTTATGATCAAGTCCTTGAGCCGATCGTTTTACGATTGTTAGAAAGAATTCCTTTTCCCATCCAAGTTACTATCCAATCAATAAATGGATCATTCGAATTTCGTATATGCAGCATTGAATACACTTCAAACCAGCAAACTCTGGCTTTCTCTGAGTTCATGTGGGACCCATCTATCAAGTTTCTTCATCTTGCCAAATTTCAGATGTTCCGATATTGTACAAATACTAACATTACGACATGGGTTTTATTCGACTAGTATTTTAAGCTGTTAATTGCCAATTGCAAATGGACGTTCCCAATCACTTTGATCTACCGCAGAACTTCAGAAACCAGCGCTGTACTGTTTGATCACAAGTGAGATGTTCAGCCTATGGTCTTTTAATGTTAGCAACAGTTTATGAAGCATTATGAACAAACTTGGACTCATGCAAAAAATAAAATAAAAGCATCTTTTAATTTTTTTTTCTTCTTTTGTAGCACGGTGGAGTAATGGATAGCGGCTCGGATTGAGGAATCGGAGAGCCGAGTTCGAATTCCAGTCAAATCCATTACATTCACTTAGGTGCTAATACCCCTTGGGAAAAGTAGGAAGCCTCCTCTTTTCCCCCAGCTATGGGTAATTAGCAGCACAGAATTGAGGCTATCTGAAACGACAGTGTTTACACAGACGCTGCACACTCACACTATAATATTGTAATATTAAATATAAATAGACTGAGGGGTTTATGATATAGTGAAATCTTTTTTCTTCCTTTCTTTATTTCTGTTTTTATTCTTTCTTCTTTAAAAATGTTTTTATTGGTTTTCTTCTTTTCTTTATCTTTTTTATTGTTTTCTTTATCTTTTTCTTCTTTTCTTTATTCCTCTTTTCTTTTTCTTTTTTTCTTTATCTTTTTCTTTTCTCTTCCTTTTCTTTATCTTTTTTATTCTTTTCTTTTTCTTTATCTTTTCTTTTTCATTATCTTTTTCGTCTTTTCTTTTTCTTTATTTGTTTGATTTCTTTTCTTTATCTTTTTTATTGATTTCCTTTCTTTTTCTTGTCTTTATCTTTTTCATTTTTTCTTTCTTTTTTATTTTCTTCTTAAACTTTTCTTCTTTCGTTTTTCAGCTTCTTCTTTCCTTTCTTTTCATCGCTCTTTCTTTTATTCCTTTTCTTCGTTCTCATGATTCTCTTCTTTTTTTCCTTTATTCTTTCTGTTTCATTTCATTTCCTCTCTCTTATTACACGCCTTTTTCTTTTTCTTTGATTCTATTACTCTATTTCTTCCTTTCTCTTCTTCTTCTTTCTCACTTTTACTTTTTCTCCTCCTCTTGTATCCCTTTCATGGCGTTCCTTTGCTTTCGTCGACCCATGGACAGTTCACTGAACAAACAATCGTCTGTCCCGTAAACTGTCGTCTCTTTGATAGACAAAAATCTTCCATCTTCGACATTGCTTAGCGTCGGTGTATTTTGTAGAACTTTGCTTCCATCTTTGTAAAGTTGGTGATGTTGTTGAATTAGGTGTTAGTATTAAATTGATTTCCGCTAAGATTGGTTTAATGATGAAAACTTAGAAATAAACTGAGGTTACGGCAGTAGGTGAGCCAAGTTTTACCATATGAGGGATGGTTAGAATTACAAATTACAATTTATTTAACAGATTCTTACTTTGTTCTTTTTTATATATTTGCATTTTACTCTCAAACCTTTACTTGCAGCTACTGTGGCAGAAAACCTGTTCAAAATTAGCCTTATCAACAATGAGCAAGGCCACATTTGCGACACCAAATCTAAAACCCATACATCATTTTCAAATATAATCATGGTGTTTCGGGGACTTTTTTTTTTTTTAAGCGTTTCACCCCAAGCAAGGCATAAAGCCACTAGCACGCAAGGGGTTACAGAGAGTTTGAGCTAGAGCAAATAGGAGTGATAGAGGAAAGGATGAAGAGAAGGATAGGGGATAGATCAAGGCATCGGGAGACGTCGATTGACATTACATTTGAATAATTGGAGATTATAGCTATCAGGGAAACAGGAAAAGAGGAGGTGGATCCACAGGCGAGAAGTGCGAGACATAAAGCTACTGGAGTAAAAGAGACGGCTACATTTAACAGTTTCGACAGTGAAAGAGTGAGAGCGAGATGCCAGCCAAGTTGAATGCTTAAATTCATGAAGTCTGGGAACCAGCGAAAGCAGCTCATCGGAGCAGTTACCGTGAAAGTATTTGTAAAAAAGACAGAGGGAGGCGACGACACGTATGTGAGAGAGCAACTGCAGACGAGATGTCAGATCAGGGCCAATTACATTGCATATCCGTCTCTGGATTTTATCCAGAGAACCTTGAGACAAGAACCTTGAGACAATTAGAAGGGGCTCCAGACCATATATGGCACCAATACTCCATGCAAGTGCGAATGGTTGATTTATAGATTTGAAGGATTGACTCCGTGAGAAAAATTTCCTGGCGCGGTACAGGGAGTCAACTTTCCTTGCGGTGGTCGAGGCTATTGACTCAATAAGTTTAAAAAAAAAAAAACCAAGACGAGGGGAATTAAATTCAATACCATTAGAAAGAAAGAACAGTTATGAAAACTAAAGCAATTAGTAGTAGCGAGAGAACAAATTAATCCTTAAGTAAATAATTTGGAAACGAAAAACATCTAGGAAAACCAAAAAGATATAAAAGAATTAAATTTAAATACGTACATGCTATTAAGAGACAGGGCCAAGGCACGTGGTTCTTAGACGAGACCCTAGCAAAGAGTGATTTAAACGACTACTCCCCCCACCAAATTTAAACCCAAGACCGAGGGAAGGGATCAGAAAGAGGCAGCTGAAGTTCCTGGAACACATAATGAGGAAGGAGGGCCTGGAGAATCTGATACTCACAGGTCGAATAGAGGGAAAGAGAGACAAAGGAAAACAACGCATGACATACCTAGCGGGCTTAAGCAAGTGGATGACAGAATGTGGTCTGGGGGAGGTGGCAGACGGAAGTAACTTGTTGAGAGCTGTAAAGGTTAGAGGGAGGTGGAGAGTCGTGATCGCCTACGTCCTGAAAGGAAACGGCACATAGAAAGAAAGAAGTTTAAAAAGATCCACGAGGCCCCTTCACTGTTTTCTCTGCGCATCACAAGGTGAATATGTAAGATTATCAGAAGAACAAACTATTATATATACGATGCATAACTGCGGGAAAATTCTGGCAATGCAATATAGACGCAAAGCTGATGCCTACCAGAAAAGACTAGGAAAACAAATGAGATATATTCAGAAATAAAAATTTAAAAAAAGATTTTAAAAAAGCCCTGATATGAATTATTTAATGAATTGATTTATTTTTTTATAATTTATCAACCCTTTGTAGGCTCTTTTAACCCGAAATATTTTTTTGGATTGTAAGATTACCGTATTTGACAGTATATAAGACACACTTTTTTTACTAAAAATATCTTTTAAAATTCCCCTGCTTCTTGGATGCCATCTGTAGGTTTAAACTTCGCGATAATCGGCCGAAATTAGTTACCTACCAACTCCTATTAGCTTCGACTAACTTTCATATACCTATTGTCATTATTTAAAAGGCTATTATGCAGATTAAAAGTGTTATCATTAATAATATTCATTATATTAATTTTGTCACGTTTAAAATTAGTACTTTGTTTCACTAAAATTATATGCAATAAATTCAAATTATATATTTGTAAAAAAATATTTGTTTCATTAATATTTTTCTTGCGACTGCATTGGTATAAATAAAATCAGAATTTTTATATCCACATTATTCCAATAAGACGTTTAAAAAACGCAGGTTGTACAGATCATATAAAGGAAAATTTTTGACAGAATTTTAATGATAACTATACTGCTTTGCTCAATTGTAATAATTACTTGATTTTTATTTTGTTTTCTTAGCTTTCGATATAATAAAGTTTTTATAGACTTGTGCTATTTTTTCCTATTATTTTTCGTTTAATTGTAATCATGGCTTGTTTAACCAAAATAATACCTCATAAATATAGCCTAGGCTGTACCATTTACTAATAATATTACTAATTTTTCTTGATTTGCTCTGCTGAAATTGGGGTGCGTCTTATACACTATCAAATACAGTATTTTTTTTTTTTTTTTACGAGTGAATATTGCATTAATAATTTTTTTTTAAGAATGCAAACCCTGGACATCTACACATTTCTGCGAGTTACAAAGTAATTTATTCCTTTACGATATTTTAGAGTCAACTTTTCTTTTTGAATTAATGTATTTAAACAGTGTTTAAATTAACCAAAATAGGAACACTGAAGATCTATACATTTCAGCCCTCGAGTTAGAAAATCATTTATACTTTTAGGATAAAACTCTAAGAGTTTGGATGCCAAGAAATCTTTGAATACAGTTTCTGCACCTTCTTTGCAACGGAATGTCCTTTCTCCGGATACAAGTTCTACTATTTAACCCAAAGATAGGTGAATGAGATGGATTTATAATATTCCCAAGAGTATTTGCATGTATTCAAATGCAACGAATCCAAACTCTGCTCTACGATTTCCCATTTCCCATTCAGAGCCACTATCCATTGCACCATCCACACATCCGAATTATTTAATTCAATCAAAACTTTGTTATTTATAGTAGCTCGTAGCTTAGTTCCTGTGAACGTTGAAAAAATTAAACATCGATTCTGATAATCATTTAAAACCTCACAATATTGACGCACATCACTTATATAAAGGTAAGTCTTAACAGCCTCCAGTTTCTCTCAACATTCTCAAAAACATGCAATAAGAAGGCGGAAATGCCTTTTAAGCAAATGCAAGACAGAACCTTATTTCAATTACTTATAAAAGTTAAGATTTTAGTATCTATCTATATTTCTGAGATGATTATTTACTATTTACATTATTCGAACTATTGTCTTCATCTTTGTCGCCAATTTATTACGGGCTTCTTCGGGTGGTTGGAATGTCGAACTGAACCCATTATTTCGCTCACTGGGATAGACTGTTCTAGTTCCACATGCCATGTCTAATGGATGTCAGTTATCAGTTATCTCCCGTTAATTCCCCGTCTCCAAGTTCTCCACTGCCTTAACCAGGTATTGAACTAACACTCTTTGGGTCTTGTCAATGGATCTAACTAACGCCTTCAACCACTGTGTATGAATTTCTGAGTATTATAAACCTAATGTCTTCAGCAACCATTTTTTACTAGTGCTCATATTGCTATTTTTGCTGTTATCATTGCATTTTTTTTAACCAGAGCTCATATTGCAATTTCTGTTATTATTATTGCTTTTCTCTGGCACTCCTTATTACTGGTTCCCATATTGTATTCATTTCTATGCTTGGTCGGCTCAGGAGATTTTTGTGGCCTAGCGTATAATTTAAATTAAGATTTAACCGCTGGAGATCACTTTTGGCTGACGACATGACGTCACTGACAAAAGAAGATTTGTTATCGATCTCTTAAACTTTCTTTCTCCGTTCAAATCTTTGGCCTGCATGTTACTGACATTTTTTCAGTTGTTATCCATGCCTGAAGATGACTGATTGTACAGTTGAAAGCACCTTATACAGCTTATAATTTTTAAAAACAAGGATCATAACATTCATCGAGTGATTTGTAGGTTAATCCACCTTTAAAATTTTGTTTGCAAAGGGATTTCGCCATTTTATATCATTAACGTTATTAATCTACTTTTTTGTATGAATGATTCATTGTAATATAAATTGAACTGCACCACATATATTATATATATATATATATATATATATATATATATATATATATATATATATGCCCTCTCTCGTAGTTTGAGCACTTTGGAAGAAAGGCAATATATATATATATATATATATATATATATATATATATATATAGTCTGCTTTGCTGTCTTCTTATTGTTTATTGCAACCTCCGCTCTTATTGCTTGTTGGGCATTTCTATCAATTACATTTAACCAAGGCCAATTACTCTACAATAACCAGTATTAATATTCTACGTAGGATCAAGTTGTTTGTTTATATATATATATATATATATATATATATATATATATATATATATATATATATATATATATTTTCGCCTATCCATGCACCTCTATACATGATCACGGTTAATGAAATCTCGGTGTCTCATGTTACTACGGAGACAAAGTTTGATCCCATGACCTGACCGCATTCAGCGTTACCGACTCCACAACCCAATTCAAAGTTCAGCAAATATTGAACAAATTAGGTGTATCTGTGTTCTGGGATGCAAAAGATGTGCTGCTGGAGAAGTTCGTACCATATGGTCAAACAGTTAATGCTGTTAGGGACTGGAAAACGCTGAAAAAAACCTAGGGAGCAGTTAGGTTGAAAAAGAACAGGTTGTTTGCGTTAGGGTGCCATCCTGCTGAAA